TGGTACATGATTGATGTAGATGAGAGAGTCGATTACAAAATGTGTTATGGTTGATGCTAGATGTAGGGCTATTATAAAGAATTCGGTGATGTTATCACCTTCGACACAATGTATCTGAAGAACAAGTATGACATGCCATTTGTTGCTTTTGTGGGGGTTGATCATCATGACATTCGACGTTGTTAGGTTGTGGGTTATTCTCATGAGGACACTGAGACATTTGTATGGCTATTTCGTTCTTGGCTTGAATGCATGGATTTCACTCCTATGGAATAATCACTGATCAAGATAAGGCCATGCAAAATGCAATTGAGATTGTTTTCCCGGTACAAGACATAGGTGGTGTTTTTGGCATATATAGAAGAACTGCCTGAAAAGTTAAGGGGTATAAGGAATATGAAACTATCAAGTTTAAGTTGCAAAATGTTGTGTAGGATTCCTTTACGCTTGAAGAGTTCGAAGAGCGTTGGAACCAATTTGTTTGATGTGCACAACCTTCATGATAATGCATGGTATGTGGATTGTACAAAGAAAGATACGATGGTGCCTGCATTCTTAAAGATACTTTTTGGGCAGGTATGTCTACTACCCAACGTAGTGAAATTATGCATGCATTTTTGATGGGTATGTCAATTCCAAACCACTTTGAAACAATTGTGAACAATACGATAATGCATTGCGGCTAAAGTGGAAAAAGAAAGGGAGGCTGATTTTAGATCTTCAAATCTTGGATACCATGCATACTAATTACCCATTGAGAAACAATTTCAAAGTGAATACACAACTGCAAAGTTTAAAGCTTCAAGATGAGATTGCCGGGAAGATTTATTGTGAGTTATCTTTTCTGAAAAAATGTGATCATGCGAGGAGTTTCAAGTTTGGGAAGATGTTTTGTTTGAGATAATAGTCGTCATGTTCCTCATGTAGTATACTTTGATGAAAGTTCGTGTGATATTCGTTGTACTTGTCATTTGTTTGAGTTCAGGGAGATTTTATGCAGACATGCCATTATGTGTTGATTCATAAAAGGGTTTACACGTTCTGGAAAAGTACATTTTACGGCGTGGGAGGACGAATGTGAACAGATGTCATACGAAAATTACGGTCAGTTATAATAGTGGAGCACCAACATTGAAGGACAACGTTTTGATAAGTTGTCTAATTTAATGCTGACAGTAGCGGATCTGGCACAAACAATAGGAAGATTATAATATGATGACGGAGTTATGTATTGACATGAGGAACAGTTGGAGCAAAAGGAAAGTGAGGGGGGGCTTGGTACACAGTAAACATCTCTTCTTAGAACTGGTTTGACAGTCAAGCTAGGACAGTCCTCCTAAAGAGGAAGAACCCTAATCATTAGTCCACAGGCGCTCGTAGCAAAGGTCATCCTCCATTTAGAAAAAGCTGTCGAAGATTGAAAAATTGTACGTAGGGTTAAAAAGAAAAAATTACAAAATAAAGAATTGGTATGATTATACATTATTTCAGTATTTTTTTGAAACATTATTACTTATTTGAAGTTTAGAATAATATCGACTTGATGATTATGTGTTTAGATACTTTTTAGGAAAAGGATCATCGGTACAGCGACAACGAGAACAGTTTCTTTCATGTACTTCTGTGGCCGATGCGGAACTCAGTGTTGTCAAATGATGTTGGTACTACACAGGTAGTGTTTATATCTTGTATTTGTAATTGCCTTAAGTTTCTATACCGTATGCAAATTATGGTTGTTAAACAATGACAGATGTCCACTGGTCTGGTTCCAAATCTCGCAGGACAAATATTTTCTATACTGGACAGGTTTGTAAATGATGAACATGTCTCGTTGGAGATGTTTGATATTTTTGCCAAGTTGAAGCATATAAATTGCATTTGGTAGAAATTTTTCATGCTTTGGTTAATTTCTACTGAATGCAGTTGAGTTGTATGCTTATACAGTTGTTTTATTTTTTGTATTTTCGTCATTGATTATGTGGATAGTGAATTCATGATAATGACGTTATGTACATGGCATTTTGGATATGCATTTCTTTTCAGATTTGAATTTTATGTCTTTGGTATGTCTAGTATTACATATACATATACATTGAAAAGAGTTGTTGACATATGTATAAACAAAAGACAAATCTATTTATAACAAAAGACAATTTATTTATAAACAAACTACAATCTTTATTAACAGCATCCGCTCAAATCAATCTATTATAAACAAAAGGGAAAAATCTTCATCATGGTGCAGGGGGTGAGGTTGACTAGAGGATGAGGAGGCGTGTGAGAAGTTCTTCATCATGTGAAAATCTCTTCATGCGATCTCCAATGATGTCAACTGTTTCTTCAATTCTTGATACAAATGTTTGAAATCACTTTGCATTTCTTGCATTTACCTCCATTACGTGAAAAACGCTCCTCTTGAAACTTTTCCATCGCGCTCAAATCTGCTTTCTATTTCCTGTAAGTATGAGAAGCCATATCTCTCTTCTACATTCTCAGATGGTCCAGGTTCATACCCGTTCTTCTTTTTGCGCACATAGACTTGTCCTTCAGTAACCCCTTCTAGAATATTGACACCTTCTTGAACCGTTGCATCTCCCTCCATTTCATCCCTAATCATATCATTGTCCGCCACATTCTTTTAATCAACCACCCTTCTATCAATGTCACATCCCCCAACACATTAGTTGTAGAAACGTAATCTTATTTGTTGCATCATCAGGGTGATCTCAATTATCAACTTCTCACATATTAACGTAACCAGCATCCCCCAATATATTTCCTTCTTTCTCTGCGTGATCTCTCCCAACTTCTTAATCATAATTTGCTGAATTAACTTGCCTCCCTGCTACTGCTGCTTCATGAAACATGAATCCTTAACTGTCACATTTCCATCTTGTCTCTTTCCTACCATTAAATGTGAAAGTCAAGTATCTGTGAAATACTCTCATAGCAGGATTCTGTAACTTTGTAGATTTACACCTATGTGGATGGTAAGTCCCTATTCTGAAAACATCAATCCAAGCTTGTTTGGAATCCCAGTTTCTAGGTATGTTTTCCAAACCTTCACAATCAAATCCTATCTAGGTTGCTAAATCTTGGGGTGTCACTACAAAGTTCTGATTCTTTAATTTTAAGAACATTGTATATGCTTGAAACTCATCATTGTCTGTCTCTACAACTTCCAAACTACCAAAAAACTCATATATCAAATGCCTATATCCATCATATCTCATATTAACCAAACGGTCCCATTTCAAATGATTAATCCAACCATTGATTTCATCACCTAAACCTAAACTTGTTAGAAGTCCTAAATCCAAACTTCTTCCAAGGCAAATATGTCTTTTCGACACGTCCTCGTATTGTTTTTTATGTCGCCAGTCTCGAAATTGAAGTGCAGATGAGGATGTGCCTTCCTGAGGAATAGTTGTATTTTTTGCCCTCACCATTTTCTGCTTTCTTCTAAAACCTATATACATAAAAAAAAAAAAAAAAACATCATCATAATCTGCCAAATCTGCCAAAGACACAGACCCAATTACTCTTAACATATACACTTTGAGATAAGAACTCAACTTATACAACATAGAAAGGACATTTCCAAGAAGATTTTTAAAGCACAAATGGCAAAAGGTTGAATTGTGAAAAAATGAGCAGCATGGAGGCATTATCCAGCAAGTGGAGCCTAGTAATAGAGCAAAGTAAATATGGTATTTGTGGGCATATATATTCAGGATTAATAATTACAAAAAAAAAAAAAAAATTATGGTATTGATATCAAGCTAGTTACCAAGAGGAGCATTTACACCTTTTACCATTTATACACCATCACTTAATAAACATAAAGAACTGTAAAAAAAAAGTTTAAGGGGTTTTTCTATCAAACCCCACATGTTTGCCAATTCTTTGTCAGCCTAACCACAATTTTGCCAATTTTTCCAAAGTTAGCTAAAGATAGGTGAACTTGACATTTTCAGGCCAATGCCTAATGAATTTATGAATGAGTATGAGAAGTGCATCTATCAGAGTCACACAAATATCGAATTCAATACCATGTGGACTGAACTTATAAACTCTCTCATTTTGATCACTCTTTTATTGAACTGAAACACCCAGAATCCTTAATGAACCAAACAACATCACAGATTCATCATTGATAAAAAACTTCTTAATCAAACATAAAGAGTTATCTTCATATAATAATTGATGTTCTACCACTAACAATTTATATACAAAACATAACAATTTATATACAAAAAAAAATTTGCTGCAAATAAAGCCTGGGAAAAAATAAAAAAATAAGGGAAAAAGAAAAAACCCAGTTGAACACATAGCAAGTATGTTGTGACAAAGAAACGGTACAGCTCTAAACTATAGTTATAAGTGATGCATTCATGCACAAGAACATTGATAATTAAAAGGAGTTGAATTGAGTTAAGAGATGATCGTAATAATATCACCCACACAATCATTCTTTGGCACAACTTTAACTGGCCAGGCACCACTAAGAGAGTTTATCTCACAATACAATCAAGGTCTTGAGAAACGGCGAGAGCAGGAAAGGAAAGAAGATTTCAACACACTTAATCTGTAGGCAATTCTACAAACAAAGGAACCAATGGAAGAGCAATGCAGAAGGCTTTATACACTAGCTGTTACAGTGTGTTTGGATCAAAACTCTAGCTATTTATGATCTGGATGGGCATCTCTTTGAATTATTTGGGCTGGAGATATTGTTATGCTGGATTAGATCATAATATTCAGGCCTAACACATTCATCCAATGGCGTGCAGTGTAAACACACAGAATCAAATTCAGACATTCATCAAAATAAACTATATTTCTCTTTATCAATGGCACAACACTTCTATTTATCAATCACACAAACCAGTCCCACCAAATTGACTAGATTTCTCTTCATCAACGCAACTCCATTCAACACATTCATCCAACTAAAAAAAAAAAATATATATTGAAAAAAAATTTGAAAAACAAACTGTCTAATTACCGGTGGCAGATGACGAAGACGAAGAATAAGCACAGAATTGCGAATCCAGAAGATCAACAGCGCGAAGACGAAGAACACCCTATAACGCAAATGGAAGACAAAGAAGATGGTAATGGCTGTCTTTTACAAAGTTCCCCAAAATGTTTTAACCTAACGCAAAATTTTATTTTATTTTTTTTAAATTTTAATAACATTATGGACGGCCGTCCATAAGGGTTGGACGGCCATCCTTTACATAATGGACGGCCGTTCATTCATTGTGGACTAGCGTCCATACTGAATGGACGGCCGTCCAGTGTTAAAAATTATTTTTTTTTTTTTACGAATTACTTTTGGATGGGCATTCATTACTTACGAACGCCCGTCCACAATTAAAAGACGGCCGTCCACCGTTTTTTTTAAGATTTGTAAAAGCCAAATACATGGACGGGCGTCCAAAAATTACGGACGCCCGTCCAAAATTAAGGGACAGTCGTCCACAATTGGTGGACGGGCGTCCCCAAAGAATTTTTTTTTTCCATATTTGGGTGAAGGACGGGCGTCCATTATTTGTGGACGCCCGTCCAAAATTAATGGACGGCCGTCCATAATGGATGGACGGTCGTCCCTAAGGTTTTACAAATTTTTTAATTTTATTTTAATAGGGACGGGCGTCCATATTATATGGACAACCGTCCCTCAAATATGGACGCCTGCCCATATAATATGGACGAGCGTTCATATGAGTGAACGGCCGTCCAAATTTGATGGACAACCGTTCACTAGAAAAAAAATTATAAAAAAAATGGTGAGACGCGTTACACGTAAGCCGGTACAGAAATTCGGTGCTAATGTTTCGGTGTCTGTAGTGTTATTGGTCATTGATTGCTTACGCCCCCATAGGCCACAATGACACTAGCTGCGTGACGGAAATTTTCCATCCAGTGAATTAATTGGTGTTGACTGATTTGAAGATTTTTTAAATTAATTTCTTTTTTTGAAAATTCTTAAAATTCCAAAATATTTAATCATTAATATTTTTAATAAAATAATTATTGAGGTATAAATAATTTAAATTTAAATATATTGATTTAAGGGTAAAATGGGAAATTGAAATTTAAAGAAGGGGTAAATTAGATATTTTAGTCAGCCATTACTGGTAATGGATGACATTCCTCCCAAACTTGGGAGGTATCCCACACGACTCTTTTTTAAGGAATAAAATTTCTATTCCTTATGCAACTCTTATAAACCAAACAAGGAATAAGGAATAAGATTTTCTATTTCTTTGTCCATTCATTCCAATCAAACATAATCTTATAGTTTAATTTGTTTTAGAAATCATCATGTTGTTTTTGAAATTATAATCAAACAATTAATAGTAATTTGGGATAAATTAGAAGTTTTTAATTCATATGTAAGAATAGGGTTAGAGTTTATATGAGAAATAGGGATTCATCATTCATGATATATATATATATATAAAATAGTGGTGTACTCAAGAACAATATTATAATTTATAGTAGTTTATTTAAGGTTAAAATTCTCAAAACTGAAGAAATTAAAAAAATGGGGACTACTTACACATAGAATGGTAGCTAAAAATCACTTCCCTAAATTTAATAAGGGCCAGCAAGAGATAACAATGAAGCATGGTTGTACTTAATCTCTTCCGAGGGTCTAAGGGGATTTGTAGATACTTTGTTTCCAAATCTCATTAAAGAGTGATGATCTGAAATTCTGCACCAACTAGAATATCGATACAAAATTCCTCATCAATTGGAGGTACTCGGTTAACTGTGTTGGAACCGAGCAAGATGGGTGCGTGACTCCAGAGAGTCAATGCTGAAGACTATGTCAATGCATGATCATGGATGAGGTTGAAACGGATGTCCCAGAAAATGATGCAAGAGTAGGAACTTTTAAAGTGGTTCGGCTAGGAGAAAACAAAGCCTACATCCACTAATTATTCTTGAGTATGAACTGAGCAACAACCAAAGGTCCCCCTTTTCTTTTCTTCCTTTCTATTTATATGGAGTACCGGCAGTACGTCAACCGGGTCGTCATGATTTAGACGGCAGCTAGAGGCTCACATGCTCCCCAATGGCAAGGAATGTTGGTGTTGACCTCGACATGAGGCGCTTTTACAGGCTTTCTGTCGACTTAGTTGCATGAAAGGCATGTGGAGCCTACTTGGCCACGTGCCATCGATCGGGGTAGGCAGTGTACACATGGCAAAATGGTTTGGCTGAATGGAGGGATGATTCGTACAATGAGTTTCTTTGCCCACCTCGCCAAATGTCATGTTCACATTCGTCCATTGATCTCTCGCGCTTTCTCTATTTATCTATATTCCCGAGCTTGATACCTACGTTGTGTGGAGATGTACTCCAAGCTCTTTAAGTGGTTCTGAGCTGGCGATCTTTACCGCACAACAAAGAGTTTAGTAAACTTGTCGATAATCATAATTTAGTTTTTACTTTTATCTTTTTTATTTTTTTTATATCTTGCTCTACTTGAAACTAATTATTGGTATATCATAGTTACTATAAAAAAACAAATTAAAGAATCCATGTTTTTTAGCATAATTTTTTTATTATGATCTTTTTATAGTATTGATAAAGAGATAGTTATTATGTATGTTATAATCTTAGTGATATAAGTGTAATAGATTAAGGAAGACAAAATGATAAGAAAGTAAAGTCGAAAGAGGGCCGTAAAACTTCTATTCTTTTCACTTCATTGTAATAGTAAAATGAAGAGGAGGGGGGCTTTTTATAGCCAACGCCTCCTTCTCCATTCACCGCCTCAAAGTTAAGGCGGTGGATGGCCAATTACAACACTCCCCTTGGACATCCATTGCTTTCAGATAATTGTGTTTAACCTTACTGAAGAAAAACCCAGTGGGAAAAAAAACTTAAGTAAATAAATACAACTCTACTGTAATGTGAAATTGGACGTGCTTCATACTACCTCATTAAAAACCTTGTCAAGAAAACCCAGTGGGACAAAACCTGATCAAGGAAAAAAGAGTACAGTACACATATGTCCAGTACAACAAACAATACAATAAACTTTTCTAAAAACTCCCCCTAATCGATGTTCCTTTTGATCAATGCTCCCCCTCATAGTGGTAGAGTTAATTTAGTAACTTATTGAGCCACCACATACCGATGTTATACACTAACTTTTCAAATGTTGATGTTGGTAAGGCCTTAGTGAATAAATTTTCAAGATTATCACTGGAGCGTATTTGTTTGACATCAATTTCTCGATTTTGTTGGGGTTCATGTGTGTAAAAGAACTTCGATAAAATATGCTTGGTTCTGCCTCCTTTGATATATCCTCCCCTGACTTCAACAATACATGCTACATTATCTTCATTTATAATTGTGGAAGCATCTAAGGTACATGGCAATTTGCATGTACTTTCAATATCATGGATGACAGATCTTAACCATACGCATTCTTGGTTGGCTTCGTGAAGCGCATGAATCTCGGAGTGGTTGGAGGGAGTGGTAACCAATGTTTGTTTTATAGAACACCATGATATTGCAATACCATTATAAGTGAAAACATTTCCCATCTGCAAGTGGGCTTTGTGAGGATTAGAAAGGTACCCAACACCTGTATAGCCAACTAATTTAGGATCATTATCACTTCCTTGGATAAAATAATTCCAAGTCTTTTGTTCCACTAAGGTAACAAAAGACATGTTTGATCCCATTCCAATGTCGGCGAGTTGGTGCAGAGCTAAATCTTGCCAATAGATTCACTGCAAATGCTATGTTTGGTCTCGTATATTGTGCCAAATATAATAATGCACCTATTGCATTTAGATACGGTACTTCAAGACCAAATATCTTTTCGTCGTCTTCTTTAGGATGAAATGGATCATTTTTAGGATCAAGAGACCAAACTACCATTGGGGTACTCAAGGGGTGAGATTTATCCATTAAAATCGCTTAAGGATCTTTTCAGTACAATTTGATTGATGAAGCAAAATTCCATATGAACAATGCTCGATCTGCAAACCGAGACAATACTTTCTTTTCCCCAAATCCTTCATTTCAAATTCTTTGTTTAAGTACTCAATAGCTTTTGTGACCTCTTCAGGAGTCCCTATTAAGGTCATATCATTGACATAGACTGCCATAATTGCAAATCCTGATTCTGACCTTTTTATAAAGACACATGGGCATACAGGATCATTGATGTATCCTTCCTTAAGCAGATATTCACTAAGACGATTATACCACATTTGTCTTAATTGTTTCAACCCATATAACTATCTTTGCAATTTTATTGATTACATGTTCCTTTTATTTGGTTCTAGCACTTTGAATCCTTCAGGGATTTTCAATAGATCTATGCATCCAGTGTACCATACAAATACGCAGTGACAACGTCATGAGATGCATATCAAGTCCTTTTGAGACTGATAAACTAATCAAGTATCGAAACGTGATAACATCCATCACTAGTGAATACGTCTCATCAAAGTCAATTCCAGGTCTCTGTAGGAAACCTTGAGCCACTAGTCTAGCCTTATACCTAGTAATCTCTTTTTTCTCATTTCATTTCCTTGTGAATGCCCACTTGTATCCTATAGGTTTCACGTTTTCAAGCATTTGGACTACAGGTCCAAATACATTACGTTTTGCTAGAGAGGTTAATTTCGCTTGAATTGCCTCTTCCCATTTTGGCCCATCATATCTTTGTCGACATTCATCAACAGAACGTGGCTCAAACTCATCATTTATAATTTCAGTAGCTACTGCGTATGAGAATATGTTATCGACAATAGTTGTCTCACGATTCCACATTTCTCTAGAGTGAGTATAGTTTATAGAAATTTCTTCATTTTTATGTTCTTGTATTCCTTTAGGGATTTCCTTCTCTTTAGGGGCTTGTGTCCTTTCAAGGACTGTTAACTCTTCTGGAGTTAGTTTAGAAAATGTGGAATTGTCAATTATTCTAGTATTGTCAATATTGGCATCTATTTGATTTTGTGCCTTTCGTTTCCTAGGAACATTATCCTTGGCTCCAACAGGCCTACCATGCTTCTGGTACATAACAGATGAATCGATCGCTACTTGCATGGATTGTTCATTGGTAACATCAATCCTTACTGGTGTATTGATAGCATGAATGTATGATCTTGTTCTTTTTGCTGCATCTGTAAATGCATCAGGCATTTGGTTGACAATATTTTCAAAAGTGTTATTCTTTGCACTTCAATTTCAAATTGAGATGTGCGAGGATCTAAATAAGACATGGAATTCACTTTCCAGAAAAGTTCAAGCCTTACTTCAAGAGGCTTTACCTTTTTCCCTAAATATGGGAATGTTGTCTCATCAAAATGGAAATCCGCAAAACGTGCAGTAAATAGATTGCCTATCAAGGGCTCAAGATATCTGATGATAGATGGTGAATCATAGCCAACATATATTGAGGGGGTGAAATTGGAACTTGCACAACACAACCAAAAGTTCTTAAATGAGATATACTAGGCTAATTTCCAAATACAATATGTTTTGGAGAGTATTGATGATATGTAGTGGGTCTTAGGTGAATTAACACCGTAGCATGTAAAACAGCATAAGCCCAGATAGAAGTCGGTAATTGTGTACATAATAGCAAAGTTCTTACAATTAATTGGATACGCTTTATAAATGATTTTGCCAAACCATTCTACATATGTACATATGGTACTAGGTGCTCAACATCAATTCCCATTACTGTACAATAGTCATTAAATGTCTTTGAGGTAAACTCACCAGCATTGTCCAAATGGATTGCTTTAATTGGGTAATTTGGAAAGTGTGCCAGTAATCTAACAATTTGTGCCAACAATCTAGCAAAGGCAACATTATAGGTAGATGGTAGACAAACATGTGCCTATCGTGCCAATGCATCAATCAATACCATAAAATAGCGGAAAGGTCCACTTGGTGGATGAATAGGTCCACATATGTCCCCTTGAATTCTTCGTAAAAATGATGGGGATTCTACACCAACTTTAGTGATGGATGGCTTAATTTTCAATTTGCCTTGTGAGCAACCAATACAAGCACTCTCATTAGGTGATAGAATCTTTAGGTTCTTTAATGGGTGCCCATGTGAGTTTTCTATGATCCTACACATCATAGTAGATCCTGGGTGACCAAGACGGTCATGCCAAATTTTAAAAAGTACAGGATCGGTGAACTTTTGGTTCATAACAGCATAGACTTCAACATTCTTCAAGAATGTGTAATATAACCACGATAAGAAAGCAGAGAGTTTCTCCAGTACATGTTTCTGGCATGAAATATTAGCAGTGATGCATAGAAACTCTCCATCCTTTTCACTTGAAGTTTCAATGCGGTATCCATTGAGTCGTATTTCTTTGAAACTAAACAAATTTCTTCTGGATTTGCTAGAATATAAAGCATCATGGATAATTTAATTTTGCTTGGTAACATGAGTGTTGCTCTTTCGGAGTCCTCAATTATGTTTGCAGATCCTGATATGGTATTTATTTTAGCCTCAGTAAAGGTCAAACCTGAGAAATATTTTCTATCCCCAAGGATGGTGTGCATTGTTACACTGTCTACTATACAAATGTCCTTGCCATTACTGCATATCGATGTCTCAATTTCGAGGTCCATCCTTAAAAAAAATTTACATTAGCATGGATGTTTACAGAATTTCATCTTCATGATATGGAACTTCAAGTCTAATTTTTGTCTCTGTTTTACAAACTTCATGCTTGTAATTAGTATTTCGAACTTCAAGTTCTAAAACGATATTTATTTATGGAACTTCAAGTTCATTTATCAAATATAATATGGAAGCACAATTGCTAACATTGGTTATCGAAAATATAATAAAAACAAATCTAACTATAAGGGTTGTATTTAACAAGAATAAATAGATCTGACCATGAAGGTGGTATTCAACAATAATAAATAGATCCAAATATAGAGGCGGAATTTAACAATAATAAATAGATCTGACCATAGAGGCGAAATTTAACAATAATAAGTAGATCTGACCGTGGAAGTGGAATTTAACAGTAATAAATAAATCCAACCGTGGAAGTGGAATTTAACAGTTAATAAATAAATCCGACCATGGAGGCGGAGTTCAACAGTAATAAATAAATCCAACCATGGAGGTGGAGTTCAACAGTAATAAATAAATCTGACCAGGGAGGTGGAATTCAACAGTAATAAATAAATCCGACCATGGAGGCGGAATTCAACAATAATAAATAAATCCGACCATGGAGGCAAAATTCAATAGTAATAAATAAATCCGACCATAGAGGCAAAATTCAATAGTAATAAATAAATTTGATCATAGAGGTCGAATTCAACAGTAATAAATAAATCTGACCATAGAGGCGAAATTCAACAGTAATAGAAAAATTGCACCATGAAGGCAGAATTTAACAGTAATGAATAAATCAAGCCATAAAGACGGAAACAAGGATTAAATAACACTTGTAGGGTTGAAAATACACTCTTTAAGTAGGCGTGCACCGTTACACTTGTTAAGCTCTTCGTGCTAATAACGTGTTATAATCTTAGTGATATAAGTGTAATAGATTAAAGAAGACAAAATCTAAGAAAGTAAAGTCGAAAGAGGGCTATAAAACTTCTATTCTTTTCACTTCATTGTAATAGTAAAATGAAGGGGAGGGGAACTTTTTATAGCCAACGCCCCCTCCTCCATTCACAGCCTCAAAGTTAAGGCAGTGGATGGCCAATTACAACAATATATACAATATTGTTAAAATATTAGATTTTTATGGTGCCTTCTTGCACCTAAAATCTCAGGCCCACCACTTAATACTACTACTATGTATTGAAACAATAAGTTATTGAGATAGTTAATAATCATGCGTAATTTGTTATTAAAATAATATGGAACATAATTTTAATTCAAGGTTTCACATAAACGAAAATGATGTTTACATTTTGGTAAAGTCATTAATGCTTACATTAATTATGGTGTTCATAATTGTAAAAGGTTAGCTGGATGAGAGATAGATGGATAAGAGTTTTTCAGATGTATTTCAGCGTGTACAGTGTATAATATTTATACACAAACTCTCCATAACTTGCTCCTATACATAAGCTATTCAAAAATTAAAAACACTATCACAAACGTAACAAAGTTGTTGGCCAGAAATATTAGTTCTAATCTTCTTTGAAGCAGGTTCAGCTTTACCTCCAATACGCCCCCTCAACCGAATGGGTAGATCTTGAACATGAAGGTTGGTTCGCAAGAGATGAAAACGAATGGATGACAGTGGTTTAGTTAATAAATCTGCAAGCTGATTTTTTGTGGATAGAAATGAGACCTGAAGTTTTTTAGCTAAGACTTGATCCCGAACATAGTGAAAGTCTATTTCAATATGTTTGGTTCTGGCATGGAAGACTGGATTAGAGGACAAATACGTAGCTCCAATATTATCGCACCATAATATGGGACTGGTCTCGAAGGGAAGTCGCAGATCATGAAGTATGGATTGAAGCCATTGTAGCTCTGCCGCTATGTTGGAGAGAGATTTATATTCTGAATTAGTGCTGCTACGAGCAACAGTTTGTTGTTGTTTGCAGCTCCAACTGATAAGATTGGATCCATCAAAAATGCAGTAGGCCCCAATACTACATCGGTCATCTTTGTCGCCAGCCCAGTCGGCATCACTATACCCTTGAAAAAAATGATCTGAAGTACTTTGTAAACGAAGTCCATAGCCCACTGTAGATTTTAGATACCGAAGGATTCTCTTGATGGCTTGCCAATGAGTGTCTTTGGGTTGATGCATGAATTTGCTAACATGGTGGACCACGAAAGCAATATCTGGACGAGTGAAACCTAAGTAATGTAAGGCGCCAACCGTGCTTCGATAAAGTTGAGGGTCAGAAAAATCATGACCTTCAAACTTAGATAAACTGCAAGTGGTACTCATAGGAGTGGAACATGGCTTTGCTTCATGCATGTTAACCTGTTGTAGTAGGTCGGCCACATATTTTTGTTGTGTCCAAAAAAGATCAGGACCATCAAACAAAGCCTCTACACCAAGAAAACAGGATAGATTGCCTAAATCTTTGACGGGAAAAATATCTCCAAGTTGCTGAATAAATTTGGCAATCACATTTGAAGAGGGCCCAATGATGACTATATCATCAACGTATATGAGGATAAAAATAGAGAAGTCATTGGTATGAAGTGTGAATAGAGAGGTATCTGCCTTTGAACCAACGA